ATTATTTATTAACCTTCATGGGATCATATATTATTATCTATGTAAGATACTCTTATATTTTGAGGTATTTATAGGAAGATCTTTAACTTTTTCATGGTTTATATGATATTTTTTAAAACTTTTAATGAAATATTTTTAAATTATATAATTGACAGTTAAAATTATCTCTCCCACAAGTTTTCCCAAACTTACCAACATGAAATTTATTATTTCTTTTAATAGTATTATTTTTGCATTTCACAATGATTTTTTATTGTGGTAAATGATGAGCAATATTTTAGTGGATAATATTATTTCAGGAACAAAATTCATCAAATTATACTTCATTTTTTTTATTTTTGTCACTTTCTATTACCTTTATTTTTTTATTAATTCTTCATTGCAATATTTAAATATTTAAAGAGTATTAATTTTGCTCCTAAGTAAATATGTATAACAATACACCAAGTAATCATCTATAAAATCAACACGATACTTTTCTCAACCTCCAAATTGCATAAATTCCAAATCTTTGATATATGATTGAACTACATCAAGAGATTCATTACTTTTTTTATTTTTTTAAATAAAATTTTGTAAATTTTAATTTTACATAAACCTCATATTTATGATTTTTTTTTATTTACCATCATAAGCCTTCTCGACCATCCTGAGAATTTAATTCATTCCAACTAATTAAAATTGTTAACCAAGCACCGGTCATTCATTTTAGCAAGGAAGAATAAATTAAATCGTTAAAATTAAAAAAAGAATATTTAATATATAAATTCTAAGTTATTTGAATTTTTATTGAACATTATCAAATAGTAAAGAATAGGACTGGTTGGGTCATTAGAGTTGGATTTAATGGAACTATTTATTGTTTTATTTAAATCCAACAATTCAAAATCGTCACTGATGCTGGCGTCGTGGACTCGTCCATAAAGATGAAAACCCGATTTTTGTAACCCAACAAAAGATAAATAAGCTTGAGTTATATTTAGCACCCTATTCGAGCGAGGATAAACCAAGGGGGGACGGAAAAGATGGGAATAAAAATGAAGGAGCACACTGTACACCCCCCCGCAAATAACAAAAGACAGATTTTGATTTTCCTTCTCCTTGTTTAGATGGGTAAAACGAACCATTAAAAAGTTCCGTTTACATAAAATATTCCGATATATGATATTTTTTAAAAAATATTTTTAAATAAAAAACATGTGAAAATAGTTTTTTAAATATATTTTAATTTTATATTTTATCATGTAATTTTTTTTCCTAAAAAGAAGAAAAATTATAATATTTTTTTTATGTTCATGATCAAGATTGTTAAAATGACAAGGTAAGAGTCAATATATATCTAAGGTGCTAAATCAGATTAAAAGCTCGAAACCAGTAAAATTAGATTTAACTTGTGTAAAATTAGTAAACTTGATAAACTTAATCTGATTTTACGAGTTTATTAAATTTGTGATGTGAATCGGTTCGGGTTCAATTTGGCCTTAAAATGTATGCTGGTTAATTTTACGAGATTAATCATATCTTTCAAATTGTATATTGGATAAAATTGAAATTTTACAGGAAAATATATTATGGTAATTTTTCAAGTTAAATGGAGTTGAGGAACATAATATTTCAGATAGCCAAATTTAGCAAACTAATATTGTCAAATATGTAAAGTAATACTTTCGTGTACTATTTGTGACATATCTAGAATTACCGGTTGAATTTTACTTCGATTAAAGTTATGATGGAAAGTAAACATCTGAAACTTTTTAACTATATATTTTACGTTTAATAATTCATCCAAACGAGAGAGAATGATATATTTGAAGTCGGGACTTAAGTTTGCCAAGAATATAAAAAAATTAGAGATTCGGGCTATATGGAGAAATTTTAACTAGAATTTTTTTTTTATTCTATTTTTTTATTTTTAATTTGAAAATTTTTCATATTATTTAGAGGTTTATTTCATTATTGAATTTATATTAGCTAATTACTAATCTAAATTTACTAGCTTGCAACCCAATAGAGTATCAAAGATTTATTGTGATGGGAACAATCAGGTTGTGCTTCTTATCTTTTAGTAATTCTACTATTGAGAAATTTTGTTCTAGTATTTTTTAATTTTTTATATTATTAATTTATTAATTTATAATATTTTTTTTTTCATTTTATTTAAATAACTCGTTGATTATAATATTATTGATTTATTTTGTTATATTTTATTATAATTTAATTTATTGACTATAATTATCAATATATAATTAATTAAAAAATTATTTATTATTTTAGAATTCAAGTTTATATTATATTTTTTATGTCAAGTTAAAAAAATATTTTTGTATCCTTATCGGTTATGATAAACTTAAAATTAAGTGATTTACAATTTTTTTTTAAATGTTTATAGAAAGAAGGATTCTCGTAATCGATCCTTAATAAGGCATCACAACCTAAAACATGTTTTAGTTGAACATGAAATTTTAGTTTAAAATTCAACAACAACAAGTCACGTACGAATGCACCATAAACAAAGAATCTGCAGGAGCCAACGAAAATATAATGGTAGTACTTCGTATTGAATAATAGAATCACCGGAATCGAACCCGAAAGGTCAAATTTGTGCAAGAAAAGAATAAATCTCGAAACTTTGAGCTGTTTCTTCATATGCTGTTCTTCTGGGCAGACTGTACCTGTTTAGAATAGAACAGGGCAGTACAATCTTTCTTCACGTTATATATATATATATATATATTGAGACACAGACACACGCACCCCATGAGTTCATGACAGGACAGAGACTAATTGTGAGAACATGAGTTCATGGTGTAACAGCTAGTTGCCTGAACAACTAGGGGCAAGAATTCCAAATAAGAATGTACGGTGCAGGAATAGCTAGAAAATAAAGAAGAAAATTTTGAAGTAGCAAACCGTTTCTCCAAGCGATCCACTTTTACCGGAGGTTTATTTATTTATTTTTTTCCTTTTTTTAAAATGAAGATATTTGTTTTTATTCATTAAAATGTCATAAAACTATTAATTTTAGGTATTTGTTTGTCCATTAAAAAATATACTTTCCTCACCTTTTCTCATCTGATTACATTATTTAAAAAACTGGTAAATGAAACTTCATTTTCCAGTAAAAAAAATATGGATTGAGAAAAGTATTTAATTGTTTGCACACAATAGCATGTTAATAACATATTTTAAAATATACAGCATTTCTAGAAAATAAATCATTCAAGAAAGAAAATATCAATATATTATATTATATTAATTTTATATATTAGGACGTGCCATTCTTTAATTTAGATAATATTGCTCTAAAATATACTATAATATTACACGACATGCTATATTTTACAATAATTTCATTTATTAGTGTATATTACACAGTTTATTTTTAAAATCAGGTAAGACAATAAAATGGATAAATACTTTTTTTTTAATTTTATTTTTTATTCAATCGAGTTACTTTGGGATAGATTAGGTCAAATTAACTGGATTATGTTAAGTAATTTTTATATAATTTAATTTTAAATTTATTCTAAATAAAAAGTTGAGTTAATAAATTTTTTTATCAGTTTTATTCTTAGATTTTTTTTGCCTGTCGAGTGAGTTGTTTTTTTAACCAATTACGATGACCAAATCATATCAACTAACTTGTCATGGCTTGATTTTAAATCCTAGTTAAACAATAAATCAAATTCCGAGATTTCAAGGATGAATCACTATATTGTTTTTAATAACAATACCATGTAGTTCTCTGTTATATAAATATACACGTTCAAGTTTTCTTATTCTATCCGCCACCCGTTCAGAAACTCATTTATCTAGACAACGTAAAGATGAAGAGAATGCTAGGAACATAGCTCATCCTTAACAGTAATAACACAAGCGGCAGAGCATCAATCACTACGGAGAGCTCAGTTTGTAATAGAGCAGCACGCTAAACAGAAGGTTTTTAGCTTAATTAGTACATCTAAAGTTTTGAGATGAAAGGGATAAAAGCTAACATCTTCATGGAATTCCTGGTAGGATTCTCTTTTCTTGCTTTTCCAATTACAGCACTGTAGCTTTCACCAAAACGACGCTCCAGAAACCACTGTCAAAGAACTCTCATGCATTTGATGATTCTCACAACTATACACTATAACCTATCATTCATCACTAGCTGTGAAAAAGAAGAAGAAAGATCCAGCATGTTTTACAAAAGGTAACTCATAAGTAAATGACTTATCCTCTGCTGCATGTTCTTGAAGATAACTACAAAGTGAAAACACAGAGCACAGGGAGAGTAGAATTCCAAACAAAACCGAAAAATCCCATTTCCCTTGGCTCTCTTCAACTTTCAATTAAGCTGAAAATGAAGAGAAAAAAACCCATATCCAAATAGCAAACAGGCTGAATGCACTTTTCATTTTATCACATGATATTTTGATTTACAGATGGTAAAGCCAGCTAAAGGATGACATCAAATAAGAGAGAAGAAGCTTCATGGATTAAATTAATTACCAAATCACAGGAAAAGTTGCAAGCAAATCGGATATGATATATCGTGTTTGTGCATATAGTTAAAAGAAATGTGGGCCCGGTTGAAAAATGTGGTGTAACCCCCCCCAATTAGCCCGTCGATGAATGGCCACTCGTGGATTCCAAAGGATCTATTCAATAGAGTTAAATCTTTTCTTTTAGGGAAAATTAAAAAAAGGAAAGATTATTTTATTTAAATAAGTAAAAAAGAGACCACGTAAGGCACATGACGGGTGGAATAGGGTGGGCCCCCTAAATTAAAGAGACGCGTACATCGAGTCATTTGCTAACACGTTTACGGCCGGAGGTGACGTTGGAAATAAACAATAAGTTTAGCCAGCACAAATATCAATGGGCCAGCTCAACAACCACCATACCCCCATCGTATATCCTGCTGTACTTATACGCTTCCCTGACATATTACACGTGTCTCATGACGTGGATGTTGCCCTGGCGCCCCCTCTTTCTCCTCCCATCCATAATTTCTCTCTCTCTCTGTTTCCTCTCCGACTAAAAAAAATTGAACTTGCATTTCCCCCTGTTTTTTAAGAAAGAGAAGAAAAAAAAAATGCAGAGCCTGTGAAGCTAGCGACAGGTTTTCTAATCTAAGTTGCTTCCTTCTTCGTGTAAAATTGAAGACAGAGTGAGCATTATTTCAAGTCTCTGGAGTTCACAGCTTGTTATCTGTAAGGATAAGGAGATTTATGATCTGAGAATTGGAAGGTATGTAGAACCTGGAGTTCTCTCCTCTTTCTCTTAAAATCCTGTGGTTTTTTGAAGATTTCTTTTTTATTTTATTAATGGTGTAAGTTTTTGCTTGGTTAGTGAGAAAATGTGAGGAAGGTGAGGAAACTGAACTTTCGAGACATGTTAGCATGAAAAATCAAAACTACTGTTAGCTGTTCCATTTCGAGTCTGGGAACGAATAAACATAGAATTAATTTTGTTTTGTCAATTGTAAATGTTTTTGGAAAAACTTTCTTTCATTTTCTTGTCATCCAAACAGAGAATCAGTTTGGCAACTTTCTGGATCCCACAATTTTCCTGTTTAGGGTCGAAACAGAGAATTTGCTAATAATTCTTGTACTTCTAAGGTTTGCTTTCTCTCCGTTTTTTTCTCCAAATCTGCGAGAAAGAATTGAAATAGTTTATAACTGAAGCTGTCCCGATAATATTTTTGGCCAGAACCTGATCGTGCAGGTGTAGAAAGATTTTAGATTTCCAGCTCAACTTGTAGGGGTATTTTAGTCATTCTATTCACGGATAAGACCCCTGGTGAAGGATTTGGTGTTTGTGCGCGTCCCTTTCTTGTGATCCAATGGTATTGTGGAAAGACTTTAATACCCTCAGATTCCATAAAAATTTTCAACGGAGTTGAACTTTTTAATTGAGGGTGAAAATATTTACAAAATTAAATATTGAAATTCATGAAAGAAGTTCAGAAACACATCCTTAATGATGTTTATGGTGTGCTCAGCTGTCGATAGTTAATGATCCGATGTATCACTGAACAGAAGCCAGTGAATGGATTATCTTTCAAAGTTTTATGATTTTACATGTAAATTACACAGTTTCTTAAACAGTGTTTCATTTTCCATTGTCTGAAAAGAGCTGAGGAAAACCCTATCTTTCACTGTACCGGATTCGTACATAAAATTAGTTTTTATCAAGTGAAAATCAGTGGTGTCTTCCCTCCTGCACAAAGCTGTTTCATATTGGGATAGCTGGTTTCTGACTTTTTTGACAGACCTTGACTCTAGAAGTTGCGGGTCTTTAGTGAATCTAGCAATTGTGCAATGGCTCAATTTGAATGATTAGATGTGCCATGACTCAATCTCTATCTTCTGTTTTTCTTCAATATGTTCACACTTTGCTCCCACACCTTTGCTAACCTGTCTCCTTTTGTTGCAGGGGAGAGAGTTAAAGCAGTTTTTGCGTACCATCTCCAAATTAAGTAAGGATTTTTATTTTTGTTGGTGTTTAACCATGGGAAACAATGAAGAGGGAAAGTCTTCTGCGTCTGATAAATCTTCTCCTGCCCCGCAAGTAAGCTGAGAAGTATTTACATTTCAGTGGTGGAAATTGATATCGTCACGTTCTTTTACCTTTTTTGAGCAAAAAAATCTTAGTTTATGATGTCCGAGAATGTCACGAAACATAAGCTGGAATGCTATACCATGAAATGAATTGAAAAACCACTTCTTAATGTTTTCATTTTTTTAAAGTTTATCTAACATATATAAAACATTCAATTTAACTATTTGAGCACATACAATAAAAGAATAAGGTATAAAAAGTGTAATGGCAGAAAAAAATTTATTTATTATGTAATATATTTATTTATAGTTTATTTTATAAAATGTAACTATACATATAATATAAATATTTTAAATATAATATTATGGACTTATAACTAGTTTTTGTTGTTTGGAGAACATTGAAAATAAATTTCTTGTCTATGGTATCCTAATTTTATATAGCAATTTATATGATTTAAATGTATGATTATTGTATATTACAATATATTTTATATTCAAATTTAATTTCTAGCAATATTATCTAAATTAAAGTACTGCATGCACTCACATATCAAATTAATATACTTATATATTGTATATTAATATATCCTAATATATTATTTTCTATATAAATATATTAGTAATTTATTATTTTCTAATAATATTATATTTTAAATTATTTTATTAATATATTATTGTTTATAATAATAATAATAATAATAATAAAGAAGTATTGTACCACTTTAGCTCATTAAAAGTGTTTTCCAATATTTTAAATCAGAAAACACTTTCCTTCATCTAAAACATATGTTTTTCTTTGACTGGAAAGTGAATTTCATTGATCAATTTTTCATAATGTAGTTAAACATGAGAAAGTCGTGTTTTCAAGGAAAACACTTTCCACCAAACAAATAAGGCCTTGATTAGTTTGCTGTGATTTACGTGCAAATTTTTTTCTGATTATTGGTCAATCCTTTTCTGTTGGCAGGATCAGACCAGCATTCATGTGTATCCTGATTGGGCAGCTATTCAGGTTATCTGCTTAATGCTTGCATTTGTTTTCTGCCTTTTCATTTAGTGGCTTAGAGTCGAGACATCACCAGCATATTCTGCTATGCCTTTTCTTTTCGTGCCACTTTCAATTCAATTGTGATACTATGTGAATTTGTATCATCTTCAGGCATATTATGGATCCCGAGTGGCTCTCCCGCCATATTACAACTCGGGTGTGGCGTCTGGCCATGCCCCCCATCCTTATATGTGGGGCCCGCCGCAGGTATTACTCAAAGCTCTTGAAGGGACGTATTTTTCTTTCAAGATTGCCAGCAATTTTCTATTTCTTCTTGGTACTTCAGAAGTAATGAAGTAAATTGAAGACTTGAGCACTGATATGGACTTTTAACTTTGAATTCTTCCAGCCTATGATGGCTACTTATGGGGCACCATATGCAGCAATCTATTCACATGGAGGAGTGTATGCACATCCGGCTGTTCCGATTGTAAGTCTGCATTGTTTCAACAACTTGGTTGTTGATATTATTCAAGGAGTGTTACAATGCTTTCTAACTTAGAGAATGGCTGGATAAGTTATGATCAAAGTTTCAACAGAATACTCAAAGTTGTAGTGTAATTATTGGAGAGTTTATAACATGCTTATAGTTCCATTCTATTCAATTCCCAGGGATCCCATCCGCATGGTCCTGGGGTTCTGTCATCTCCTGCCGTAAGTGAAGCCTGCTCTTTGGAAATTTCCTTTTCTACACTTCCAATTCCATCTGTATTCAATATCAGTTCAACAAAATGAGATAGAAATGCATCAGTTGGAAATACAGAAACTGATTTGCCTTCACTGTGTAAGCATATGTAATTCTTGTACAATTATGCAGGCTCATACCCCTTTGAGTGCAGAAACACCTACAAAATCTTCAGGAAATACTGATCAGGGTTTAATGAAGAAGTTGAAAGGGTTTGATGGGCTTGCAATGTCAATAGGCAATGGTGATGCTGAGAGTGCAGAGGGTGGGAGTAGGCTACCTCAGAGGTTTGAAACTGGCACCAACTCACCCCCCTCCAAATTTTCTTTCAACTTCTGTTTCAGCTTAGCTTAGCTTAGCTTTTTTGTCTGGGTGACCAATTTGGTGGTCTTTGAGAGACTTTCTTGACCAACTTGCAATTGTTTTGCCATGTACAGCATGGAGACAGAAGGTTCCAGTGATGGAAGTGATGGGAATACAGCTAGGGTGAGCCGTTTTATCTTTCATGAGTGTTTGCATGCTTCAAAATCTAATATGTTTCTGAATGTTAACTGTAATCTTTACTGCTTCTTTTGTTAGGGCAAGAAAAGGAGCCGTGAGGGAACACCAACTGTTGGTATAATCTCATCCTTCATTGAGAGTGTTGACCTAGAAACTCTATTTCTAGTAGCATTTGTTCTTTTCCTGTTGTGTGCATCGCATTTGACCATGTTGCAAGTTGTGAAATGACAAAGCTAGTTTCTATATTGACCAGAACAGTTTACCAAAAAGTGTTCATTTGCAAAGGGATGGTTATCAGATGTGAGGGCCGTGTTGTAGTGCTCTTCATCATTCAACATGGTAGTGTCAATTGAAGAATGACTTCTTTTTAGGCGAAATCTTGGAAAGTGAAATTATGATATTTTATTTAGGAATGACCAATGTTGTTGAGGGCAATAGTTGATAAGCCGCACAGCATGCTTAGATGAGGAAACTTTCCCTGTAATTGAACCTCATGCATGCATGGCAATGAATTCTAGGCTTCTAGCACAAACGAAACAACCCAGGAATGGGAATAGATAATGGACAAAATATAGCCGATCCACATTCTGTCTTGAATTTTATGTTTTTAAGCTTCATTTGTGTATGGTGTACCAAAAAATAGGGCATCATTTCTGTACTCAGATCATCATACCACAGGTGGAGATACAAAAACAGAGACACATTGTAGCCCTCTTCTTGGAGAGGTGAATCCATCCACTGACAAGGTTTTGGGTGCAGTTGTTGATCCTGGTATGACCAAAGCATTGGAGCTCAGAAACCCTCCTAGTGTGAATGTTGCTAAGACAAATCCTGCAACTATTCCTCAACCTGGTGCCATGCTGCCTTCTGAAGCCTGGTCACCGGTATAATATATGCTGTCGAATATCTCTTAATTTGTCCCAACCATTTCTTCTGTGCCTTTCTGAACATATGCTATCGTCAGAAGTTTTTGTTTGTAATTAGAATAGTATATATGCCCTATCTTGAGCACTTTCTTATGAATTCTGTTGGCATGCTCAGAATGACCGGGAGCTGAAACGAGAGAGGAGGAAGCAATCGAACAGAGAATCTGCTAGAAGGTCAAGATTAAGGAAGCAGGTAGAGTAGATTTGTAGCTGCATTTCCCCCCCTAGACATCCTGTTGTCGTTTTAAATCTCTCCATTAGACTATCAATTTATCACTGAAATTGTGCTTTGTATTCGACCCTCTAGGCCGAGGCTGAAGAACTCGCACACAAAGTAGAAACTTTGACTACAGTGAACATGGCACTTAAATCGGAAATAGATCAGTTTACAGAGAAATCGCAGAAACTAAGGCTTGAAAATGCAGCATTAACGGTACACACCCTTTCAGCTCTGTCAATCCTTTAGTCCAGGAGGTCGTTTGTTTATTTATTTAGCTCTTTGCTGGTATTTAATTATCTATGTTGTAACTTTCTAGAGTGGTTCAATTTGCAGGAGAAACTCAAGAATGCGCAACTAGGACCCACGCAAGAAATGATTTTAAACAACATTGATGAGCAGCGAAACTCCAACTCTGGTGCCAAGCTACATCAACTCTTGGATGCAAGCCCCAGAGCTGATGCTGTGGCTGCTGGTTGACGAAAGTAGCTTGCTTGCAGTCCCTCATCTTATATTTCAAAGCAACCATTTAGTTTTGGCATAATTACAAGCCCAAAATTACGGTTAATAGTTTAGCTGTTGATAGAATATCTAAATAGGATTGGCGCCGATCCTCGAGACTCTTAATTTTAACATGTTAAGGTAGCTCTCTCATGGCAGAACTGATGCGTTTTATCAATATTCAGTGCTGGGATGGCCATTGAAAGGTAATGTACATTGAAGAGATTTAGAAACTCATTCAGGGAAGGTTTGGGTACTAGTGGTTTATAAATATTTCTGTTTGTGAAATTTTATCAAATAGTGACGTGGACACTTTGATATGAGCTTGAGACGATCGTGCTTCTATACAAGACATGCTCTTGCTATTATTATCTCATTTACATCATGAATTATGACTGAAATTTGAGATGTCCATTAAAATGCTTATATTCAGTGCTGGGATGGTCAAGAATGCTTATATAAATGCTTATAGGAGAAACTAGAGAATTCATAATGGATGATTTTAAACAAGTAACTCGCTCCTGCTTGAAATGCCCCCGATCTTATTTGCCTCACTTTGCGATGAAATAAAGGAAATGTTTGGGAAACCTTTTTAGGATACCTAACGGATTTTAAAGAGTATGTGAGATTGTGGTTGTTATTATTTTTTAAAGTATTTTTTATTTTAAAATATATTAAAATAATATTTTTTTATTTTAAAAAAATAATTTTTGATATTAGTGTATTAAAATGATATAAAAATATCAAAAAATAATTAATTTAAAATAAATAAAAAATAAAAAAATTAATTTTTTTTAAAAATATTTTCACATAAAAACTCAATCAATTCTCTAGGAATGGTTTTGTAGTTTTTAAACTTTATCCAAAATTGATTCAGGCACCATGATCAACCACGTCACGTTATTTGTACCAAGCACGCAAATCATTGTAGTCCATACAAATTTAAAATGTAACTTTAGAGCATCATAAGTTGATATTTTTATTTTATGATTGTTTTTGTATTTTAAAAATATTTTAAAAAATATTTTTTTTTTATTTTTATTTCAAATTAATATATTTTTTAATATTTTAAGATCATTTTAAAGCATTGATTTTAAAGATAATTTTTTAAAAATAAAAAATATATTGTTTTAAATAAAAATACATTAAAAAATAACGGTAATCGCAATCTCAACCAGTCTACGTATTTGTAGGATTGCACCATTGGCTCGAAACTTTTGCCTGCGTACAGGAAGAGATGTCAGCGCAGATAAAACGTCAGATGATGTATTCTGTTCTTGTAAAAGTAAAGCTTTGGGATTGAAGTCAAGAGCCGTAAAAGGACCGATAATCAGGAACTTATATGGGATTCAACGAATCAACACCGACATCATAGTGCTGGCGGCTGCCCTCAGGACCGGTCTGGACCTAGTAAGAAGCTAAAGTGAAGCCCCGTCTTGTAATACCAGTCGGGCCATTTGAATCCATGGCTCCATAGCTAAAAAGTTGACTCCACACATGGACTGGGTACGGGCAGAACAGTTCAGGCCCCTTCCTCGTCATATAATCTTCAGGCAAACAATCACTGGCTTTCTGCTGATTGTCTCCCCTTTGATTGACCATTGCTAGTTTGGATGCTTAACCTTGTACGACACGTCTCTTCTCCTTTCTTGTCAGCGTTCATGTGCTTTGAAGTTACAATTTCTTCAGCAGTGAGATTAATTTAGTGGTATCATGTGAGTATGGAATGTTACCTTAGATTACTGAGACTGCAAAAATCCACACCGTCCATATAGAATAATATCATGAAAAGTTACTAAGACAACAAATAATACATTTTGCTAAAAAGGTTTTTTGTAATTTGATAAGTTTTGGTTGTAAGAGTCAAATTATTAATTTCAAATAAATGATTAAAATACCCATTTATCTTGGTGATTATTTACTATTAAACAATTTTTAAATATAGATTATCTATTTAAGATTAAGTATACTGAAAAAACATAAAAATTATTTAGCATGTATTATCTTCGGTGCAGGTCGTTCTAGTGTGAGTTAAAAAATATTTGCAACAGAAATTAAATTTCTAGTTAAGATAAAAATGTGTGAGTTAAAACATATTTGCAATAGAAATTAAATTTCTAGTTAAGATAAAAATAATATTGATATCTAAAAAACCTGGGTCAATCTCTTAAGTTCATAACCATAAAATTCTAGATTTATACTCAATTAAAAAGCTAAATTTTTAATTAATTTAATATTAAAAAATAAAATTTAAAAAATCAATTTAAAACATTCATTAAAGTAAAAAACTAACAATTTAACGAATGAAGATCAAATTTCATACAAAAAAAAACTAAAGGATGATGGAATTGTTAAAAAATCCAATCATAAAAATTAACTCAAACAAGATAAAAATAATAATTAAAAGAATACAATCAAATCTAACATAAAAAATTAAAGAAGTGTGCAATTTAAAATAAATTTTAATTTTATAAATTATTTTAATAAGATAAAAGGAATCAAAAGAAAATAGACATAATCTGAAGGAAAAGTAAATTAAATGGCTTATGTGAGAATTTGGAGGGTAGAGTATGAAAATTAAGGAAGAAAGGAAAAGAAAAAAGAAAAAGACAGTAACACCAAAACAAGAGTTCCATTCACCACATGTCTGTCCAAAAATGGAGAGTTTGTTAAGATAAAGTGAACGCCACCTTGGAAGTCGGGCAATGTCGTGCTACTTGAACAACACAACCACGTCCACGTGTTGACACGTGTAACACGCATGAACTATTTTTAAAAAAATAATATTTGTATTCTTAGCACTACAAAATCTCTCATTTATCTGCATGATATTAACAAAAAGATACCCAAATAAAAATACAAAAATATCCGTAGACGTAAGTTAAGGAAAATTCACCCTTTAAGGATAATTAAGTCATCCTAAAATGCTTAAAAAATAGAAAATACGACACCAGCTTTGAAACATCTTGAATATAAGGGTATAATAGCAATTTGAGTGGGCGATACAGAAGTGAAAATACTTAATTGCACCTTGAAATCTGGCAATGAAGGATGGATTCTTCTGAAATTATAAAATTACCCCAATAGCTCGTTTTGAAGTTTTGTTTGTGAAGAATAAGATAGGTATTTCACTTGGAATTATTACAGTGAGATACCCAAACATTTTAGAGTTTGTGTAAAGTGTCGATGGAGTAGTGATTGCGAAACCTGTAGCCTTGAAGCGGAATGGACTGGGTGTTCGGAGCTCTCAGCTGTGCCTTCCAAGTTTTTTGCAGCGAACGCTTTGATCTTCAGAGAGGAGTTATTTGGGATGTGGAATTATTTTTCAAGAGCAAAAAGTGGCACTGCTTCATGTTGTTGTTATAACTTGCTTTCAATTTGCGCCTTCTTCTTTTAGAATTCTGACCTGTTTTGTTGATTAGCATGTCACACAAAAATTATTGAAGCCTCTTTTCACATTCTTCTGTGTCAGGTTTTCTCCATTCAGGTAGCTACTAGAGAGATCTCCCAGTCAAAATATCCACAGTTCTAACGTTAGGTAGTTTGTGTGATTTATAAACTATGGGCTCTTTTTCTGAGAAAAAGAAGAAAGATCTTCCGTGGCTTTGAGGTTCAAATACACGAATACTGGAGATATGTTCCTCGGATGGGGTCTAGTACTCCATAGAATGTCATTAATTATCTCTTGTCCACCGCGGTAAGCATGGTTCAGGTATAGGGCAAAACATGCTTCCTATAACCCCATCTTTTAGAATCCCGAGTGGCAGCTTCTTGACATTATTTTGCCACAAGTTCCAGCTTCCAAGTCTTTGTTTCGGGAAAATTATATCTAACTTGTTTGGAATTAAATAAGTGGATTGAAGGAAAATAAATTATTTATTGGAAGGGAAAGATAATGAATATTGATTGATATTGATATATTTCTAGGTGGAGAGGGGGGATGAAATGACGAGCAAATTTAACATATTATTTCCCTCTTTTCCATTAACGCGGGATAGAAATTTGCAAGCTAGTGGGAAAAAAGAAGATATTTTTCCCAACAAGGCTGATTTTACCTCTCTGTGGTTCTTTTAATTTCCAAAGCCTATATTTTAATTTTTTTTACTGAGAAAAAAACTTATCCAGCCGTGGTGAATAGCGGGTCAAAATTACAAGAACTCCTTACTAGGTTACTGACAACCGCACCACCTCATGTCATACTCCTCGCAAAATTTACTGCATTGTATCAACAATTCAAAAATGATGGTACAAGGCATCATGAGTTCAACGTTTCCGGTCAAACCAAGCACTTCCAGCAACAAATGAAAATATAAATACAAATATACTGGCCACTATCTCTCCCGGTAAGCTACGACTTCAGCAAATTAACAGAGTTGAATTCACTTAAGAGATGGCAACTCCGGTACATGCAACAAATTTCAAGTGATGACTTGACAACTGAAAGTCCAACAATAACCAGGCAAAGGCTGGGGCTTGGATATGAGCCCTGATACCTGCAGAACAAAAACGCAGATACGGTAAGCCCTGTCTGTTTTTGTCAAGTTACAAGCATATGATTGCACGTGGCCCAGAATTCTTACCCTTTTTATGAACTACAAGCCACGTCTATACTCCAGCTGTTTGGTATTCTCTAGCAAAACCTGCCAAAAGGTACACAATAAATAGTTCAGCTAAAATGAAAATGTTTAAGATGCGTGCCATTTCATTAAGACATGGTTAAGATGCATAGGTCATTCAATCATATTCAAACTCTCACTTACTTCACGAATGTAATTTGCTATTGCCTTGCAGCCTTCAACAGCAAGTTGCATAACATTTTCAAAGGTATCAATTGGCAGCTTAGCATCCATCTGCATTAAAAAAAACAACTCGTTTGGAATTCAATAAGAAGCGGAACGAAGGAAAATAAATTATTTGTTGGAAGGGAAAGATAATGAATATTGTGATATTGATATATTTCTAGGTGGAGAGAGGGGATGAAATGACGAGCAAATTTAACATATTATTTCCCTCTTTTTTCCCAAAAAGGCTGATTTTACCTCTCTGTGGTTCATTTAATTTCCAAAGCCTGTATTTTAATTTTTTTTACTGAGAAAAAAACTTATCCAGCCGTGGTGAATAGCGGGTCAAAATTACAAGAACTCCTTACTAGGTTACTGACAACCGCACCACCTCATGTCATACTCCTCGCAAAATTTACTGCATTGTATCAACAATTCAAAAATGATGGTACAAGGCATCATGAGTTCAACGTTTCCGGTCAAACCAAGCACTTCCAGCAACAAATGAAAATATAAATACAAATATACTGGCCACTATCTCTCCCGGTAAGCTACGACTTCAGCAAATTAACAGAGTTGAATTCACTTAAGAGATGGCAACTCCGGTACATGCAACAAATTTCAAGTGATGACTTGACAACTGAAAGTCCAACAATAACCAGGCAAAGGCTGGGGCTTGGATATGAGCCCTGATACCTGCAGAACAAAAACGCAGATACGGTAAGCCCTGTCTGTTTTTGTCAAGTTACAAGCATATGATTGCACGTGGCCCAGAATTCTTACCCTTTTTATGAACTACAAGCCACGTCTATACTCCAGCTGTTTGGTATTCTCTAGCAAAACCTGCCAAAAGGTGCACAATAAATAGTTCAGCTAAAATGAAATGTTTAAGATGCGTGCCAATATGTAAACATTAAGACATGGTTAAGATGCATAGGTCATTCAATCATATTCAAACTCTCACTTACTTCACGAATGTAATTTGCTATTGCCTTGCAGCCTTCAACAGCAAGTTGCATAACATTTTCAAAGGTATCAATTGGCAGCTTAGCATCCATCTGCATTAAAAAAAACACCATAAATGAGGGGTCTAAGAGTAAAAGCTTTGCTAAAAGTAAGAATTCTAATTCCCACGCTTGCAGCGGAGTTGAAACACCTGGATTATGCTGAACACAAATGATCGATTCTCACGTTTGAAGACATTGTAGAGTTGTATTTGAAGATCGATTGGAGTGGTATTAAGAAGCATCTGGACACTGTATTCAAAACAGTGCAGCAGATCACGCTATGAGAGCAAGGGCTATTTGGTGTTTACTTTCATCTTACTTTTCTTTTTACCAGTGAAGACGATTTAGAGGGATAGGAGGGTGTCAAAAGGTGGCTACAAGGAAAAGAAATGACACGGCAACTTTTGATAAAAATTTGCACACCACAAATTCTTGTTGTCACAACTTAAGAGTAACTTCCATGATGAAAATTTCCAGTCATACTTGTCCAGATCAATAACTTTCACGATTAACATCACCATGGAAGAAACAAAGGGTTTTTTATTAACAGGGAGAATTATATGAAATAGAGATTCACGTAAAAACCTGAAGAAGTGTCACTTTGTCCACCTTGGGTAGGATTCCAACAGTGACATCAGGACCTCCTGCACTGTCTTCAACATAGTTTAAATCTGGGTCAACAAAACAAAAGTTAGCTTCAATATGATAAAAATCAATTAGTGTAGAAAACAGAAAACTGCACATTCAAATGAGAGACATGAAGAACTCGCCAAGAAGAGGAGTGCTATTGAGGAATCCAGCACTACAAGAAGTAACAAGATCACGCATGGGGATACCTGCATCTGCTAAGGCCAAAGTTGCAGCATTGATGCATGCAGATCTAGTTCCTGCAGACAACATATGGCTTAATGGACACAAATTTTCCATTATTGAGTACAAGACAGTGAAGCATCTTGGAGATTTCCAGTGGTGGTGCGATAATGAATACTAGAGAAACAGGCTCCTCAAGCGTTGCTTAGCTTATTTAGAAAGCATTGGATGTTTCTGAAGTCCATGCCTCTTGGCACTAGCACCAGCACAAGATTGATTTATTTGACTCATATAATTTGTTTTGGCCATTTTGGAGTTTGGGGAGTGAGGGGAAAACATTTGAGGGAGAGAGCAAATATATCCAAGTACATATTCTATTTCAATTGGAGACAAGGAGAAGAGGTCCGACTTGCTCCAATTTTCTTCTCTTGGCTCTCTTTAATGCTTCCTGTTTATTTAACCCTGTCTCTGTCTATGTTTCTTTTTCAGATGAAGAAAAGTAAAATAAATGAAGAATAATTTCCTTCAAAGTTGTTGCAGTGTAACCATTAACAATTCTGTAGGCATTATTATCATGAACTAGCAGGTAGGTAGCTTACAATAAAGACCATGTACTGAAAAAACAACAACAATATTTGCAACTTATATATGATGGCCTGAATTTAAGGACCTTTTTCTCTTAAATCTTGCAAAAGAGGAGCAATACCTAAGGTACCGATAAAATTAACATACCTAATGTACCGATAAAATTAACAGAATCTGAGCTTACGCACAGAGGTCAAAGAAGCACATAAATACAAAAAAGAAAAGCAAACATTAATGAGTTAGTGCTGGGTATTCATAAATGATTTCGAAGTTACCTCCATCAGCTTGGAGAACTTGCACATATATATCAATCTGCAAAATATGCAAACAATTTAGGTAAAAAAAGAAGAATCAGCATCCACTGGAGTTGGGAAAATATCTCACGCAACCGCAAAAGGACCTGAGAACGGGGCATTAGATTCGTCAATATGCATTCTTCCATTGTCTGACGAATAACCAACGAAATCTCTGTTGATCGCCTGCAAATGCTTTCATCTATAACAAATCAAAATACCCCAACAATGTGTATTGTAACATTGATTTGAAGTGCAGAATTTATTGTGATTTTTGGAGCCAATAAAAAATACTAGCCGCGACAAAAACACATCTCAAACATAAAACCAACAATCTGTACATCTGAAAATGGCATTTTCACAGGCAATCTTGGTATTTACAATGACAGACACAAAAAATACAAAGAGCAGTGTCAGAAATAACAAAGATGTCAACTTCAAGTTATTTGGTTTGCCCACTAGCAAATAACTCATTCAAAATCTCATACAACAACCAATTCCAAAACTCGAAAAAAAGGCACAGTCAAGCAAGAGGTTTTCAAAATATTTTTAAAAAAAAAACAAAGCGTACCTGTCACCCTTTGGTTTTCGCCTCCGATCTCCTGTACTGAAATTAGCCATGCTGTACTCACACCGCACCTAAAATACACATCATTACAAAGGCATTTTTATTAATAAAAGAATTAAACTAGCTGAATTCGTAATAAAAGAATTTACCAGTGCTTGGTCGTTAATCTGTTGGCTCCTATTTTGAACCTGAAAAAAAAATATAAGTAACCAAAGCAAATAAGTAGTTAAAAAAGAGAGATAAAATATAATATAAAAGGAGTAGCAGCTACCTCTCTAGGTCCATAAACGGCAGCAATTACTTTAGTATTTCCCATCTCAAAAACAGCAGAGCTACAAAACAAATGATAGTTTTTTTTTTTTACTTCAATATTTCTGTTTTGATTTTTAGAAGCCGAGGTTAGAAATATTAAACACACCCGTCTGCTTTGGCTACAGCACCGATTTGTGCTCTAAGTTGCCTCATCTGCAATAGGTAAAAGGGAAACAAAATAAGCAAAGACAGAAGAAACAGTGGAGTCAAGCAAAAAGGTAGAGAAGTGGATTGTACTTCCATGGGGCGGCGACCATCCAGACGAAGACCTTCAGGGTTCACGAACTCCATTTTTGCCAAAAGCCAGCCGAGATTGAAGGAGCAAGAGCTGCGTCCTGTGTTGATTATTAATTATTGAACAGATTAGACGTTGTTAATGTACAATGACATCAGTATCAATATGTTTTCCGGGGAAAGAGTGAAAGTTTAATGAGGGTAGTGAGACAGGGCCCATTTCCTAGAGTAACCCGTTGGCGGCACGTCTTATTCGTTCATCTTGACAAATTAAAAGTATTGTCGGTCAGTGCTTAGGGCTTACAGATCCTCCTGTTCGCAGTTTATACTAAGCAATTGCAGTCTATACTAAGCAAACTACGAAAGTTCCAAAAGGAAACGTATGTTTGGTGGGGATAAAGATGATATTTGATTTACTGGGATCAGGTTTGTCAAACAAAAAAAGTGTAGAGGAGGATTGCCAGTGTGATTGGATAACTATCAATTTGTTAAAACAATTAGAATCTGTAAGTCAATAAAATAACATAAATGGAAAAAAATTGTCAATGATTCCTTTCAGTGTCAGTTCACAGAAAGTGTGCCCAGCAAAAACAAAAAAGAATCGACCGACCGAGCGTTTATGTGCATCATGGTCTCTCTCAGAGAAAGAGGTACACATTTTTCTAAATCAATAAGGGAACAACCTATGATGAAAATCTGTTCAAGATAAATAGCAGAAGTTAATAAGAATGATGAACCAACCTGATAGAAAGTAGGCACCACTTTCGCAAATATCAGCAGCTCTTTGATCTGTTGGGCACTAAAATTGAAGTTCAGTACGCAGTAGCAGTGGATTAGAGAGAAGAAGCAGGTCGGGTGAAGGGAAGAGGAGAAGACGAGCAGAGGGGGAGTGTGTATTCTCTTCTGCGTGTGGCTGCTTGCGCTGGAAATTAGGGGTTTCTTCCCTTATTCCAAACGGCGCCGTTTAAAAGGAAAAAAAAACAGTAAAGAAAAAAGGCTCGGTTTCTTTTATATATATGATACCAAAATAAACTAAAATGTAAAGGTTTTCTTAATCCTATTTGCAGTTACAAAATAAAAAAGTATTTTTTATTTTAAAATATTTAAAATAATATTTTTTTAAAAAAATAATTTTTAAAATTAATTCATCCAAATAATTTAAAAACACTAAAAAATTTAATTTGAAATAAAAAAAATCATTTTTTAAAAAAATATTTTTAAAACAGGGATAACAGCAATAAACACTGTTTACATATTCAGAATGTG